ATGAACAATTCATCGAAAGTTGCTCGTCCCCGGCCCCAAGCATTATGACCTTTTTACGGGCAGTGCCCTATCAATTTCACTAGCCTTTGTTGCTAATTGTTACAGTAACGTCATTTTGGTTTGATTTTGCCCATTGTTTGGTTAGTATAGTTACAATGTATCTATTGTTCACAATGCATTGTTTTTATGAATTTTTTGCACTAACAATATATGTATTGTTTGATTGATTTGACACAAACTATCACTCATTTCAAAATAAGTGATAGTTCTCAAGTTTTAGGTAAGATTGTTGGGATTGTTGGATTGAGATTGTTGGGGTTTGTTTCTTCAAATTATGTCCTTACCTATCATAGAAACCAAACGATGTAAACTAAAATACACTAATGTTTTTATTGAAATGTATATTATTATTTATAGATTGATTACAATACATCAATTTAACTATCCACAAAACCAAATCACCACTATATAACACGATCGTGCGTGCTGCGATCTATAATCCCTCGATAGAACCAGGAAAAAGAAAGGAATTGGTACTTGGTAGATTGGGATTGTATACGTGGCTTTGTAGTGGTAGTCATCAGAAGAGGCTGGCTACGTGGAGAAACAACGGGTGTCTGTTTGGTTAACGTGTAAGTAAACTACCTTGCCACACGACGAGCTCTCAAGATGCAACCATTCGCACAAAGCAATTTGGAAGCCGAATGAGTGATTGGGTAAGCTACGAAATATAAGGTAGACATTTGGAAACCAGCAATAAAATTAAGGGCCATTGCAAAATTTGACATACACAGTACCGAGCCGAGTTGAGCCGAGTCGAGCCAAACTTTATCATAGTTCGGCTCGGCTCGTTAAAATATTTCCAAATTTGAACTCGGCTCGAGTTCGTCACGAGTTTTAATATGCAAGCTCGAATTCGACCCGTTTATGAAAACAAAATCTTGAGTTTGACTCGAGCTCGGCTCGTCAAATAAGTTGAACGAACCCAAAATTGAGTGCAACTCATAAAAATGTTCATGATAGCTCAATATTGAGCTACAACCGAGCATAAAATTACATTCAAACCTGTAGCAAAGTCTCTAACAAAATAAAACACAATATTTATCCCAAGTTCAATACATAAAATCCATGAATTCCAATCCTTTATGATGCCAAACCGTCAAATGAGCTTGTTAGCGAGCTTTCAAGCTGAACATGGTATAACTCGAATTCGACTGGTTTAGTTAACGAACTTGTTCGCGAGCCAACTCGATTAAGACGAATCGAATATCGAACGAGTTTTTTCCAAATCAAAAGTCAAACCATTCATAAGCGGCTGCGCATAAAATATAGATTCTTCGCGGGAGCTCATCTCCAATCCATGTGGCATGTGCCCCTCTCGTGGCGACCTTATCTTATACATCATTCACCAAATAATAACAAACCTGCATTATATTTGATTCGTTTCATCATTTCGTTCAATCCAGCTACACTCCAAAATCAACACCGCCATCCCTACATGGCTACACATGCAACATGCCACTCCCCCTCAATAATTTTCTTCATCATCAAACCTTTCTAGCTTCTGTTTCAATAAACAGAAGAAATAGAAAGACTAAAATGTAATAATTAGCATGACATTTCTTCAAATATATCGAAATAGAAAACTAAATAGTCAAGACTCAAAGAGGATCTCTGGTAAAACTAGTTGTTGGTTAGTGCGCTTATACATATACGGCAGAGATAGACAATATATTGTTTCGAGGGTCAATTTGTAGTTATACCTCCTTCGTGTTCGCAATATTTTTTTAGTGATAATGATAATCGGTCAGACTTGGACTGGATTAACGTTTGATAGGATAGTATGAAGTCACTTGGAGTCAGGGTGGACAAGGTCAATTTGCTTGCTATTTGTAAATAATTGTATAGCCAATTGTGAGTCTGGCTCAAAAATAACTACGATTATACGGTCGTGGTTCTAATTGAAATTTTGAAAAATGGCACACAGTTTGACCATTGTTACGATGCAAGATCCAACCTTGAAGCAAAAAATTTGAGGACTCACGTCACGCAGCAAAGCCCCTGTATGCTCTGACAATGTGTGGATCCTCATTTGACGTTACATGAATGTTAAACTTCAAATAGCGTATGCCAACTCAAATGCGAGAATGACTCTACTAAAAATATAAAAAAAATACGAAGATTTGATTATGTACAAATGCATAATAAGAGATATGCACCCTACCATTAACTCATCTAGTGGCATATAATAATCAACCTAACTCAGGCCAATCACCATCATCAAATTGATTACCAAGTTCTACCCCCACACATTACAAAACGGTGTGGCCTCGTCAATCCACATTCCACAGTAGCCAAATTCCCGGACCAAGCCCACTTGCTCTCGTTATTCAACTTTTTATTTTATTTTCTTATGCTGCAAAGTGGTTGATGTCTTTTTCAGAAATTCTCCATCAAGCGGCATCAATCCGGCCCGCCGCATGATAAGCTTTTCTACACCCGCCCGCATCCGACCACAAACCCAGAAGAACTTCCTAACTGGATTCATCTACTTCTTTCTTATCGAGACGGACATAGATCATGGGTCCCACCCACGAGCGCCACAGAGATCAAGTGCGGGCCATGGCTCCTTCTCACTACCCGAACCCGCACGATCAGGTGCGTCCAAACTACAAACACACAATTTTGTGGATCTCTTCCACTACTTCAGTTACACATCGTTTGTTTGGAATTCATTTTATTATAAAATAAATTACCAAATAGAATTTGTTGTGAAATGAAATCTTGTGTTTGGTATGTCATATTCAAATTTTTAGAAATATAATGAATTGTCGTGTAGAATTCATTGTCAAATGAAATTGTCGTGTTTGGTATATAATATATATAAGTAATTTAGTTAATAAAGAAGATAATTATCTCATTTTATTATAATTAGTAAATAGTTATGGAATTCATTGGAATTCATTTTATTATAAAATAAATTACCATATAGAATTTGTTGTCAAATGAAATCTTGTGTTTGGTATGTCATATTCAAAATCTTTAGAAATATAATGAATTTTCGTGTAGAATTCATAGTCAAATGAATTGTTGTGTTTGTTATGTAATATATATAAGTAATTTAGTTAATAAAGAGGATAATTATCTCATTTTATTATAATTAGTAAATAGTTATGGAATTCATTTGGAAATTCCATCTCAATTCCTCGGAATTGCTATAACTAATACCAATTTCAAAGAATTCAAAATTTAGAATTGAAAATAAATTCTTTTAAATACCAAACACAAAAATATTTCATTTCAAAATGAATATTTCAAAACTTATGGAATTCATTTATACCAAACGGTATGTTATTGTTAATTCGACATATTGATTTCCGGGGCAATTATATGAAACGTCACTAAAGTTTGGGATTATTAACAAATTGATACGCTAACTTTTAACTTTGATAGACAAGCAACTTATTAGTTTGAAGGGTGAAAAATACATTTTAAATTAAAGAACATTAATTATGAAATATTAGTTGAAAAGATTAAAAAAATTAGAACGATAGAAAGTATTAATAAAGTATCACCAAGGTTGTTAAACCCCATCGTATCCTTGGTTGGACCCGATCCGACCTAAGTCGGGCTTCAAAACGGCCTCCAGAAAGTCCACCGATCTGACCTCTAAAGACTAAAGAGGGAGAAGAAGAGAGGGGGAAAGAACTAGAGTGCATTATGAAAATTTGCAGTCGTCTCGGCGATGCATTTTCTTTATGATCACAATTTTTTTTTATGCAAGTAGAATTATGCAAAACTTTAGTTTGATTTTTATCGATTACAAGTAGAGGTGTTCAAATGGTTACCGTGGTAATAACCAAACCAATTAAACCTAAATTTCATTAACCATGGAATAAAATGTCTTAACCAAACCGTCCAAATTAACACAAAAACTAAATTAACCAACCCAAATTTTAATTGACTGTGTGTCTGTGTCTTCATTCAAGGCGGAAAGACAAGAGATTCTCGAGTTCACAACCAGACTCTCCCCCCATTTTCTTGCTAACTAGAACTAAAGGGAAGTAAGAGCAATTGCCTTTTTTCTTTCTATCTATCTTTTCGCTTTTTCTCTTAACCCGAGGCTGGATTTCTTTGAAACCTTGTTGAGGTGTTCGTCAGAAGGTAACCGAGGTTAATCGGATTAACCAAATAACATTACATTACATGAAAATAATTATCCTGTTAATGAATAAAACATAACCATATGTTATTACTATCATTATATATAAGCAATAATAATAAGACTAACCATCCATGATTATCATCGTCATTCGAGTTAATACATCATTCATCATCTCTGCATCTAATATAGTTAGCTTACCACAAACCCGTAACATAAATATTAAATACATACCAATACCACTCATCAGGAAGTTAAGACTCTCCTACAAAAAACTTAAACTATACATAGTTTGAGGTGACTGTCATGGTATTGTATGTAATCCTAAAGTCTAGTAGTTGTCCAAAATGTTTTGGTTTAGTAAATAGGCAGACCCATTTAATTTTTGACCCATAATGCTTTGGTTTGTTGTGCACATGGAAATAAAATAGGGAATCACGAAAGTTTGATTTGGTTGGTTGCATGGAATTATAAATAATTTTGTATATCAGGTGTATAATTAATTGGTTAATTGGTTTCATTGGTTAGCAGTGTTGAAACCAAACCAAACCACCTAAACTAAATAAGCTATATTGTTTAACCAAACCAAACCAAATCAATTATCAAAATTAAGCAAACCAAATTAACCGAATACTACCGGTTAAAGGGGGAATGGGTTTTTTTAATCAATAAATCATGAGATTTTTCGTGGTCTTTTCAACTGTTAGAAATCAACGGATAGGAGCAACAAGAGCACAGAAATAAAGTACACCCAACCACACACAATAAAATTCTCCTCCCTCTCTTTGCCGTCTGTACACCTTCGCCACCTAGGCTGGCCTGCCTATCCCGGTTTCTGTTTCCATTTGCCTTCGTTTTCCTGTTTTCACCAGAACGAGCGAACAGAACAACAATAACCACTTCCTTTCTCCCTTTCTCCTCTCTTTCATTCCTTTCAAACTATATACCACCAGCCCCCACCGCCATAGCTAATAACTCGAAAACGCGGGAAGAAGAATCCGGATCTCCTCCCCCTTGACTTCGGTCCCGCCATTTCTGCCTCCTTAACCTTCTCTAATCCTCACAAAACCAAAACAATTCGGGAATATTCTCCATACCACAAATTGCCTTGCACGTTAAGCGATTCCCCCCTCCTCTCCCTTTCAACTCCTTTCAACCTCCGTCTTCCGGTCAGGTAGGCGGAGCTGCTGCTGCCTCGTTTCATTCCTTTTGCTCGTCTCCGGCGAGAGTGATTCGGTGTTTTTTTCTTCTTCCGAATTCTCTTTTTTTTCCCCTTCCAAAATTCGTTCTGGTTTTTGCAAACGCCTCGTGTTTTTGACAATGTTCGTTGCTGGTTGATCTCTTCGGCCGGTCCATCGCATAAATTCTTTGCCTCTTCTGCTATATCTCACCTCCGCCTGCTTCTGTTATGAAGTTCGGAGGCGATTGTTTCTTTTCCTCTCCTGCCTCTCTTCCACTTCTGTGGAATTCCTCTTCAGCTTCTCAACAAGGTGCGTTTTCTCCTCTCCGGATTTTGTAACTAGTATTGATCTTATTTGCCATCTCTTCGATTCAATTGGCTTATGGTGATTGTGAATGGCGCTTTTGTGTTTGAAGCAGCAGAGGTTTGCGTTGACTTTGGAGGTGATTTGAGCTTGTATAGAGAGTTTGATGGGGAAAGCTGACGATGAGAGATGCGTTTTTCCTTTAACCAGTCTGCAAATCGGGTTAGTATGTGATTTTTGGTACAATTCCTCCGATCTCTGCATTTGAGAAGCAGGCACTGTTACATTCCATGTGCATGTATGAATCTAGGGGAACTAGGCAATCGCAATTGAGAATTTGGCTTGTAGCCTGAAATTTTAGGGATTGCTCCTTCTAAGAGGTTCTGACTCTGAGTATGACCTGCAAAACATGGTATCTAGGCTTTGAGGGATGATCAACGACCTAAGGGAAGGTCATTCATTATGATGCTTAAAGATGCTCTTCTGTATTGGTTATCTATTCAATTCCTGAATTTTGTTTTGTCCTTTTATGATTGCAGAGACTTGCAGTCGTATCTTTCGGATCTTAGATTGTATGTGGCCTTCGAAAGTAAGAAGCTATACATCTTGGTGGACAACCGACCATGGTTGAGGAGCCTGGGTTCGCGGCCAGCACACTTGTGGCAGTTGATGGTTACAAAGGTGATGAATTATACTCATTAGAGCTATTTAGAATACTGTACCTGAGTTAAAGTCCTTGATGGTTTCAGTTGGTGACATGGGTTTAACTTCGTTGCAGTCAAGGTTATCTCCATTTGCAAACACCAAAGGACAGAGAGGGAAAAGGGAGTGCAAGGGAACTTCTTGTCCTCAATCTAATTCCAGCAAGGCAACGAATATTGAGAAATGGTTCTCACTGATCGATGCAAAAAACTTCTCTCAGAAGGCAGGTTTATTGCCAGTGGAGAAGTTGAGAAAGTCGTTATTCTTGAGCAGTGAGCTGCACAGAACACTCTATGGTTTTATAGTGTTTGAAGTTGCTTGGAGTAACGTTCGAGGTATTAATTACTTGAATGAACTTCAGGTATGAGGCCGCCTCCATCTTCAGTTTGCATTTTACTGCAGAGTTTTGTTATTTTTGGTCAATAATTTTTTTGAGTATGCAGACAGACACATCTCTGGCAGTCGAGGCGAAAGTTATGCAAAGATGGGAATTTGATTGTATATCTCAGGCATCAAGGTCTATCGCTTCTTGGTTTTCAGGAACATTGCCCGAGCAGTTGCAATTGAAGGAGTACCTGGATTCTGCTACAGGTTACTGCAGCACTCTCTTGAACTCGATTTATTGTTTTTATCCTTTTTTAATTAGTTTGTATCACATTACATTTGATCAAGACGTAGCGAGCTGACCCTATATTGTTTAGAGACTGTATTACCTGTTTTACTTTCTCTAATGTTACGGGAAATCCATTAAGCTTACTGTAATGCTGGAATGTAGACTTATATTGTAAGCTCTAACTGATGTTATGTTGATCTGTTGGGGTGTTCTACAGGAGATATATTCTATGATGCAAAACAAAAATTTTCAAGAACAGGTTCTTTCAATGATGATGATGAAGAGACCGTTGGAGGTAATCGGTGGTCTGTGAATTCCTCATCCAATAGTCTCAGTGATTCTGACGATATTCAAGATGATTCTGAGCCACACACACCTCCACCAAGTGGGCCCTACAAGAGAAGAAGGGTAACTAAGTCGATTGCCTCAGGAGTCAAAGTTGATTTTTATTCTGAAACACAGGGCAGGAGCAAAGATTTGTTGCACAACTCGGAGACTGATGGCAGCAGCAACAATTGTGAAAATGGTAGTCTTGAAGCTAAGCAGTACAAGGACGTGCTAATTCTGATGAGGTTTGATGACCATGACCTCCCTTTTAAGCTGAGGCAAATCATAATGGCTGACCTTCGGTTATTGACCCTCTTAGAGGCAGGGCTTCCGTCATGGGTAATCTTTCTGCAATCATATCCTGGGTTTTGCCATCTTTATCGCCCGTGGATGTGTCCGCTAGCTAGAGCTTTATACGTCTCCATCTCGATTGTCACTGTCATAATAGGCTTCTACGATCTTTACAAAAATGTTCCTGTTCTCAAGGCGACTGCATCTCGATTATGTGGGCCACTTTTTGACTGGATAGAGACCTGGGAAATGGTCTCCAGGATCAAGTATCTGGGGACCATGCTGTTTCTTCACAATTTCCAGAAGGCTGTCACCTGGTCCCTAATGATCACTCGAACTTTCCGGTCTTTCCTCTCGGTTTTCACCCAACCTCTGGTTGGTCCGTTAGTGGAATTAGTAGGGTTTCTCCTTCCATTGTGGAATGAAGTCATTGAAGTAGTTGAGCAGTTATTCTCAGTAGTCTGGCTTGTGGTGGGAACCACTTGCAATGTGGTTGGAGATGTTCTCGAGTTTTTTCTGTGGCCGATATGGGTTATCATCTCTTTTGTATGGAACTTTGGTAAGTCCTGCCATTCTTGTTTCTTGGTAGCTTTTTACTGCTGTTTGGCCAATGTCTCGTATCTGACTCTTCAAAAATAATTTGTGCTGCAGCGACTTCAATCTTATATCCCATCTTCTGGATTCTGTGGGAAGTGATCTACACCCCAGTTCGCATGGTTCTTGCACTAGCCAGCTTCCTGGCTGGAATTTTGGGTGTGATGGTGCAGTTGATTGTAGATGTTTGGCAATCTATGAGTAGCATAGCGCAGCTCGCTTCAGCATCCGAGGCGTCAGTGAACACGTACCAAGTTTCCATGTGGAAATCACTTTGGAGCGACCTTTTCTCACAGGTCTTTCGTGCCGTCAGAAGTATTCTGAATGGTTTTGTGGCTTTTTTCACAGCATGCAACAGACATCGCCTCAGGTAGTTATTTTTCGTTTGTTTGAATCCATTGAGTATATGTACACTTTTCGCGACCCCTACACTTCGTTGAGTTGACAATTTTGGGTTGAACACAGCATATACAACCATCTACAAGATTTCATCCGGAGACTACTCGGTGGAGCTCAGAGATTTCAGACTTTCGATTCCAGGCCTAGTTGGAAGTCATACGAGCCGCGTAATCTAGTGAGTGAATGCAATGTGCTGCTCTTTTAACCGATGACCCTTTACTCTGTGTAAAGGTTTTCTGATCAATCCGGTGTTCTTTTTAATTGCAGTCCGATTCATACGGGGACTGCAGACAGGGTAGCTCGCCTCGTCGAATGCCAACTGTGCGTATTTCCAAGTTGAAGAAGCAGAGGTGAGTCAAGTTCTCTACAATCAACACGAAATATGAAAAACCTTGGTAGCAGTTTTTGTAGGAGAAAGAAACAAAGAGAGAATAGTTTCTTATTTGTTTCTAACCAACACCGTTAGGAATAATCTTTCATTCTTTGCTTCCGTTTTTTGGTTTCTTTCCCATGCTAGTTCCTTCGTGGTTTCCTTTTCCCCTCTATTCAGCTAGTATCTCTTGTTTGTTTCTGAACAGTTCTGCGGTACTCATAGGTGTTGTATTGTTGTATCTTTGTTGTAAATAGCATGCGTATTGTAAAAGCCCTCTTCTATGTGCAGTAAAAAATAGAAAGAACCAAAATTGCAGTTCATTACCTTGATTCGTTTAAGGCTTTGGCGACGAAGCATTCTGGTCATAGAGTTTATAGTTACTCAAACGCAACATTAACATACTGTAGCCACGACAACTTTTCCAAACGTCTGGCAACGTGAGATTGTATACGGAGGCGAGAAATTGAGATTATGATGAACCATCAAAACGTCTTAGTGTGTGTGGCGCCACTGTTTATTGGTTTTTCAATTTTCATTATCCAACTTTGACGCCTGCATTGCATGCACAACTGCTGAAAATGTTGTAGTGGCACCTATTGATGAGGCTCCAGTTACTGAATTCCTGGCTTAGAATGGTTTGCCAAATTCTTCATTTTTGGAAAAGAGTAGGAAAACAAAAGCATTGCAAGAGGTGCGTGGACGCCCACAAATACGTTGCTGGGCTGCTGGAAGTGGAACATGACTCGTGAATGAATTGGGAATTTGAGAGAATATAATGTGTCATGATTTGCATACGCAGTGGAATCGAGCGATCCAGGGAGCGATTGATAATCAGAGAAGAATGTTAATCATTATATCTATGGTTAGAAAACCCGCTTGAGACTCACTGTGACTTTTTTTTTCTCATCCGTGCTTCGTTAATAACAGCTAGGGATTTCGAATCCCCAATTCCATTCAGCTCGACCGTTGGAGGAGAGCGGGACTCATCAATTGAAGAAGAAGAAGATTCGGTTTAACCAATACTCACCGTCTTGGCTTAAACTCATCGTTTTATCTTGTTTCCTTTACTGTGTCGTTTTTGCTATCTCTCTGTACTAGCTTCGCTTTTCTGTCAAGTTTCCTATTGTTTCCTTTTCAAGTAAAGAGACAGCTTGTATCAGGAACTTGTCTTCTTCTGTAATGGCTTCAGTATAAGAAGCAAAGTGATCAATGAGAAAGGCTTCAAGCCTTAGGGTTTCAACCTTTGTTATGGTATCAGAGCCCTTGACCTAACTCTCCTCCCGCCGCCATGGCTGCCAACGTTAATGACAACGAGCAACAACCTCCTCCTGATCCCCAAAACCCTCAGAATCAACCACAAAACTTCTACCAACTCGAAGATCCTTTCTTTCTCCATGGATCTGAACAGCCTGGCCTTCTTTTGGTCAGTGAGAAGCTTACCTCTACCAATTACAACGATTGGAGCAGAGCAATGTACAATGCTCTTGCTGCCAAGAACAAACTTGGGTTTGTTAATGGCCTCATTCCTGAGCTAGCCCCCACAGATCTGTTACATGGTGCCTAGGTTCGCAACAACATTATGATTCTTAGCTGGATACAGCAAGCAGTGGACTCAGAGATCAGAAAGACAATCCTCTCCAGCAAGACAACTGCTGATGCTTGGAAGAGTCTGCAATCTAGGTATGGTTCTGGTGATCTTATTCGTGTTGCTGAGCTAGAAGAAGCCTTGTCTTCCTTACATCAGGGTAACCAGACAATCACAGAATATTATGGAACAGTCATCACCTTAAAAGATGAACTAGATAATTACCAACCCTTGTTTCCCTGTGATTGCACTCCAACCAGCCATACTGAATGTCGTGCCATGAAAAAAGTGCTTGAATATCATGACACAAACTATGTAATCAAATTCCTAAGGGGTTTGAATGAAAACTATGCTTCTGTTCGAGCACAAGCTCTGTTTGGAGAAGAGCTACCAACTATCAATAGGGTCTTTCAAAGACTCTTACAACATGAAAGACAGATCTATGGAACTCAGAAAGGAAAAATGGTTGCTACTGCTGCTTCAGACTCTCTTGCTATGGGTGTTCAAGGAAGTAACATGAGGTTTACTCCATCTGGTAAAAGACCTTTCTGTACTCACTGCAAAAAGGAAGGTCACACCATGGACATTTGTTATCATATCCATGGCTGGCCACCTGGTATGACTCAGAGGACATCTAATCCTCCAGTAAGGTCCATTGAATGCACCTACTGCAAGAGAAAGGTCACACTGAGGATAGATGCTACCAGAAACATGGTTTACCTCCACACTTGGCTTCCAGATCTGCTTCTTCCAACCCTAACAAAGGCAAGCAGACTGTTAACTCTGCTGTGGTTGAGTCCAATGATCAAGAAGTCAAGTTAACCAAGAAGGAATATGACAAGATCATGGCCTTAATGAACAGTCACCATGGTTCTTCTTTCTCAGCAGCTGCCTATATTTCTCAGCCTCCATCTCCAGGTAAATTCCTTTACTCAATTCCCAGTAAAGGTCAGAATCTCAAGAATCCACATGATTGGATTTTGGACACAGGTGCCTCTGATCACATCACCTGCTCCTTGGCCTACTTATCTGACTATAAGACATTAGATAATGTCTTCATTACATTACCAACAGGGGCTCAAATCCAAGCCACCCACATTGGCACTGCCCATTGCAGTCCATCCCTCACCCTTGAAGGGGTTCTTTTTGTACCCCATTTCACTTTCAACCTTGTTTCAGTGAGCAAGCTCACTACCAGCAAACCCTTTCACTTGACAATTTACTCTGACTTTAGTCTCATACAGGACCTGGTGATGAAGAGAATGACTGGTTCTGCTAGGCTCGTCAATGGTCTTTACCACTTAGAAGTAGACTGCAAACCTAAACTCCTCACTGCTGCTAGGGCCATTGTTTTTGATCTTTGCTGCTAGGGCCATTGTTTTTGATCTTTGGCACTTTAGGTTAGGGCATGTTTCCCATACCAGAGTCCCTTACATTTCTCAATTTTGTACCTCCATACACACTTTTAAAGATCAGCCCTGTGATGTGTGTCACTTTGCAAAGCAAAGGAGACTTTCTTTTCCAATTAGCCAAACTGTAACACAAAGATGTTTCCAGTTGCTTCATGTGGATATTTGGGGGCCAAACCCTACTCCTACTTATGATGGCTTCAAGTATTTTTTGACTATTGTTGATGACTTCTCACGAATGACTTGGATACTTTTACTTAAACTCAAGTCAGAAGCTAGACCCAAACTCATTCACTTTTGCACTCAAGTCCAAACACAATTCAAACAATCTGTCCAAAAGATTAGAAGTGACCAGGGTAAGGAGTTCCAGATGGATGATTTCTTCCAATCCACTGGTATTATTCATGAATTATCTTGTGTGGAAACCCCACAAAAAAACAGCAGGGTAGAAAGAAAGCATCAGCACATACTTGCTGTTGCTAGAGCTCTTATGTTTCAAGCTGCTCTACCTGCTGGTTTCTGGGGTGACAGTGTCAAACATGCTGTATACCTCATAAATCGAGCCCCCACTCCTGTTCTGGACAACCAAACACCCTACCAGAAACTACACAATGTCCCTCCTGACCTTACAGATTTAAAAGTTTTTGGCTCCCTGTGTTATGCCAGTACATTAGCAGGTCATAGAACCAAATTTGCTCCCAGAGCTAGGAAGGGTATTTTCCTTGGTTTTGTCTCAGGCATTAAAGGGTACAAGGTTTATGACCTGGTTTCTCATGACACCTTTTGTTTCACGAGATGTCATATTCTATGAGAGTCACTTCCCCTTTCAAAACCACTCTCCTACTCAATCTGATTCTACTGCTTTATTTCCCTACCCATTACCTTATTCTCAACCAGAAGATATCCCACCTACTACTTCATTACCATCATCAACTCCCACTTCTACACCACATACCAGTACCCCACCACCTTCTCCAGACCCACCATCAACTCCACCTTCCCCTGATCACACTTCTACCTCATCAGCAGGCCCTTCTGCTCACTCTCCACCCTTATCTCCTACACCTCCTACTCCCCCTCCTCCCCCTCTCAGACGTTTTGACAGACAATCCAAACCCCCAGTCCACCTAACCAAAGACTACCATTGCTATCTCCTTCAACAAGCAGGCAAACCATGTCATTCTCCAAATTCACAGGTTCAAGACAAAAGGTACTCTCTTTTCTCATCTATTTCTTATAACTCTCTTTCACCAGCCTACAAACACTTTGTTCTTACTCTATCCTCCTTTCATGATCCTAACACATACAAAGAGGCATCACTGTCAGCACAGTGGAATGCTGCTATGCAGCATGAAATAGGAGCTCTCCTCAAAAACAATACCTGGGATGTGGTCAACCTACCACCAGGTAAGAAGACCATTGGAAACAAATGGGTTTACAAAGTGAAGCTGAATTCAGATGCTACTTTGGACAAATTTCATGCCAGACTTGTTGCTAAGGGTCATACACAACAGGAAGGGGTAGATTATCAAGACACTTTTGCTCCAGTGATCAAGATGACTACTATGAGGTTGTTCTTAGCTATTGCTGCTCAGAGGAATTGGCATATTCACCAATTGGATGTGAATAATGCCTTTCTTCATGGTGATTTAAAGGAAGAAGTTTACATGTCCCTACCTAAAGGTTACAATCCACCTCCTGGTTTTACCAATCTAGTTTGCAAGCTAAAGAAGTCACTCTATGGCCTAAAACAAGCATCACGTCAGTGGTTCTCCAAACTGACAGATAAGCTCATCAGTTACAAGTTTGTTCAAAGTCAGGCTGATCATTCACTGTTCTATAAAGCTACTTCTACCAGCTACACCTGCATTCTCATATATGTCGATGATCTTGTACTTGGAGGAAATGATTTACAAGAAATAGAAGCCCTGAAAACAGCTTTGCATTCAGAATTCAGCATCAAAGATATGGGGACTCTGAAATTTTTTCTTGGGATAAAGGTGGCCAGGAATGAAACTGGGATTCACATTTCTCAAAGGAAATACACATTGGAGATAATTGAAGAAGCAAATCTCATTGATTCTAAAACAGCAACCACACCAATGGATTACAAGCTCCACTTGTCTACAGAATGCTCTACACCATATGAAGACCCTGAGTTCTATAGAACATTGGTTGGTAAACTTATCTATCTCACAATTACCAGGCCTGATATAAGTTATGCGACTCAGCAATTGAGTCAATTCATGGCAAATCCTAGTGTACAACACTTCAAAGCAGTCCAGAGAGTCATTCGTTACCTCAAACAGGCTCCTGCAACAGGTCTTTTCTTCCCCAAGAACAACTCCTTCCAATTGAAGGCATTCTCAGACTCCGATTGGGCTGCTTGCATCGACACTCGCCGCTCAATTTCAGGCTTCTGCGTTTATCTGGGTGATTCCCTCATCTCTTGGAAGTGTAAGAAACAGAAGGCGGTTTCCCGATCTTCCCGTGAAGCAGAATACAGAGCACTTGCCTTCACCTCCTACGAACTTCAATGGCTGCTCTATTTACTCAAGGATTTCCAAGTTCCACATGCTCACCCTGCCACCCTCTTCTGCGATAACCAGAGCGCTGTCTATATTGCCCAGAATCCAACATTCCACGAGCGCACTAAACATATCGAGCTCGACTGTCATCTGGTTTGTGAAAAATTGCAGAGCAACACCATCAAACTCCTCCATGTCTCCAGCACTCATCAGTTGGCCGACCTCTTCACCAAGCCTCTATCTCCACCTCTATTTCGTTCCCTTCTCGCCAAGCTTGGTGTGCGCAATCTTTGCCCACTAGCTTGCGGGGGGGGGGGGGGGTAACAGCTAGGGATTTCAAATCCCCAATTCCATTCAGCTCGACCGTTGGAGGAGAGCAGGACTCATCAATTGAAGAAGAAGAAGATTCGGTTTAACCAATACTCACCGTCTTGGCTTAAACTCATCGTTTTATCTTGTTTCCTTTACTGTGTCATTTTTGCTATCTCTCTGTACTAGCTTCGCTTTTCTGTCAAGTTTCCTATTGTTTCCTTTTCAAGTAAAGAGACAGCTTGTATCAGGAACTTGTCTTCTTTTGTAATGGCTTCAGTATAAGAAGCAAAGTGATCAATGAGAAAGGCTTTAAGCCTTAGGGTTTCAACCTTTGTTAGCTAATGTTATGTCATGTAGGGAAGTTTTCAATGCAGACATATAAGGGGTCAAGAGTAAGAACACCTCGCAAA